TGACCCTCAAATGACCAATGGGTCCTGAGAAGACAACCAACTAATTAATGTCTGTTTCCAGTGGCAACTCATAATCTTTAATAGAATTAAACTTACCAGTTGGCTGTGACCTTGGTGAAATTGTTTCACTTCTCCAAGCCTTGGTTTCCTCAACCATAAAATTACGATAGTAATAACTGTCTCATATTAAATGCTCAGTTAAAAAAAGACATTACCTTTAACTTGACTTTCCCCAGCCGTTCTACTTTATTGTCCCTAGATGACGTTTCGTGTATGTGTGTTTATGTATATTTCTTTGAAATAAGATTGCACTCGAAGAATAATAGTAGTATAAGAAACAGCGTATAATGCTTGATAGCCACTTGTAGAGAGAAATTACACTTGAGAGGTTGTCTGAAAATGCGAGCCGAGAACTGCGGGCTCTGGGTAAAGGTGTGGACCCTACCTATTATTGCTTTGTAGCAATGTGTCAGTCTTCAAGAGAAACTTAAAATTTGAATTTTTATGAGAAATCACCCAACTTCTAAAAGTTGGCAACTAATTAAAAAAATCTAAAAATCCCTCATACCCAAGAAACATTTCTGTGGACCACATCTAACACTGAACCTATTTGCAGCCTTGGCCTAAACGTCTGAGAGAATTGTCCTTTATGCCCAAGTCCTTTGCTCTGGTGCCGTCCATGCACACTCAGCTTCTTAGGGACCGAGTGGGAAGAAAGTTCCCAGTGAATCGTCCCAGGATGCGTAGAGGCCTAGTGAACTGAGATCACCTGGTTGGGAGGGACCCAGAAACATTAACCTTGCACTCCTTGCTTTTGGAATCTTCTTAGCCACTGCCCTACCGATAACAATACAGTTCCTACCAACTATTAGTTTTCTCACAGGGGAAACCATTAGATATCAACAATCAGAATGCAATTGAGAAAATTACTCCTAGGCTTTACGATACCACATTTGAAAACTGAGTGTGAAGGTAGAGTTGATCAGACCTCAGATCAGACATTTAAAAAGGGCCAGATGTAAAATATGTGTTTGAGAAATCAGAAAAATAAAAGAGGTCTCTACTTTTAGCAGAAATCGAATGAATCATATTAGGATGTTTATCTCACAGTTTTGAACTCAAAGTGATTGGTTTGTTTCCTTTCTGTCACCAAAATGCTATTGATTTTTTTTCTTCCCATGGTGTCACCCTGTGTCTGTTGGGGAGCTAAGTCACGTTGCCTGTGCTCCTCCTCACAATAGCCCTTTGGCTTCTGTCAGTCCCCCGTCTTCCCTAGGGCTTGGGGTGGGACTGGACACATCTTTCCGCCTCCCCCATTTCCCCGTCTCTCCCCCTGGCCTTTATGCTGTAGCAGAGACCGGGCGTTGGTCTGTTTATTGAAGATGCCAGTTGAAACGGGGTATCATAAAGAATGATGCAAGTGTATATAAACATTTTAATTTAAAATGTATACATTCTTTTACCACTCTTTTCGTGTAAAAGACCCTTTCTTTGAGTAGAGGACACAAATTGGCGTTCTGTGAAGTCGTGCTTACATAGTCACAGTCTTAACGTGTGTCTCTGGGTTCTGTTTCATTTTTAAAACCGAGATATATGAAACGCTGGATGTTTAAAGATATTTTTTCTAACCTCCTAGCGTCATCTTGCCCACACCTAATTTTTTTTTTTTTTTTTGCGACTCGCCCTGTATGGAGTCTTTCCAAAGCAGTTAACCTAGTTTTTATGGCAGTAATAACTCCTTGTTTCACGCCTATTTCATCAGCTCATGTACTTTTAAATTAAATTGTATAATTAGAGTAACAGATAAAATTGCCACGAAAGGGTTTGGGAACAGACATGACTGCTTCTTGGTGACATTCAATTCAACCGTGGGGGCAGCTGTGCGCCCCCAGCTGTGCGTATCCTGTGCCCTAAGTGGCCTGCAGCAGGCAGGTAGTCAGTATGCTTCACAGGAGTGGGGGGCCCTGAGTCTAGTGAATGAGCTGGCTGCAGGCCGGGTACTGGTGTCTGCTGTAGGAACAGCATCCCTCTCGTTATTCAGCCCTGGGAGAGGCCTGGAGCACATCTACTCAGGAGAAGTGGAGTGACTGATTTAGGGCTTGGCCTGGTTGGTTAGACGTGCTTAAACAGGCCTGCACCCCCAAAGTAGGACAGACTGAAAACATTCACAATCTTCTAAGCATTTAAAACCCACAAAACTTGTTTTTTTTCCCCTGTGGGTGAACAGGACCATCCTGCCTGTTTTCATGTGTAAACAGGTTGACTTATGTCCCTGAGTCAGGATCACAGAGAAACATGGCTTCTGTTTCCTTAGCCGTGAAAACTGCCTTTCTAGAGGCGATCTAAGCCAGAACTGAAAATTTAACTTTTGCTTTGGTGCCACCAAGTGGTTATTTTTGAGATACCATTCTCGAGGAGAAGATGGGTCGACAAGCAAAGATTTAAAAAAAAAAAAAAAATCTGGGCCAGACAGAATTGCACAGAGGGTTTTTAGGGCAGTAAAACTACTCTCTGTGATACTACAGTGGTGGATACTTGTCTTTATTCATTTGTCCAAACCCACAGAATGTACACCACCAAGAGTGAAGCCTAATGGAAACTATGGGCTTTGAGCACCACTGCGGTGGGGGCTGTTGACACTGGGAGAGGCTGTGCGTGCGTGGGGGCAGGAGGTATGTGGGAAATCTGTCTTCCTGCTCAATTTTGCTCTGAATGGAAAAATGCTTTAAAAATAAAGCTTATTAATAAAAAAAAATCTCCCATTTGACATACATTTTCCTTTTTAGCTACTGATGCTGCAGGTAAGAGCAAGGTAAGACAGACATCATCTAGGAAGGCTGGCTGACTTCTCAGGCATGGATGACAATCTCTTCCTGAAGTTCTCACATCCTAGAGTCTGGGTCCTTAGCTTCATAAATCCCAGAAACCTTTTACTTTTTCACTGTATCCAGAATTATTCGATTTTCCAGGTTATATCATACTCACCAAACTTACAAGAGACTTGTTGATAAGCCAGAAGGCCAGTGTACTACTTTACATTTAGAAATGTGTATAGAGTGGTAGGTGAAAGCACATGTTAGCTGAGCAGTTCATTTTCTACCCTGTAGGAAATTTATATGCGAGACAAATTATACTGAGTAGGTTGTTTGGTGAAATCACAGTGGGCTGGGGTGTGTGTGGTGAGAGGAGTGGGGGCATAAGGGTGTGTATCTTGAAGGGGTGTACCATTGAGCTGAGACTGTCTTGACCACTTTAGATCCATACGTGAGTCTCAGCTGAGAATACTCAGTGTTGCTGGGTAGTACAGAATCCTAGACAGTGCTGATGACATACTTACCTCATCTTTTTCTTTGGACACCCTTTTGGAAACTCTCCACTGAGCATCTTGCTGCTGTTAATCCATCCTTTCCTCAGATGAGGTGTAGTGTGACTGGTATGGCCACCGCTGTAGACTTGCTGATGTAGCTCTGGTCTCCTGAGAATCTCTCTGGTCACCATGATTAGCCTTAGCATCATCAGCCACCATTTATAGGTTTTTGCTTAGGGGAGCTGGTCTACTTGTGATAATTTTTAATGATTTCATTCTCAGAGGAAAACTTATGTTTTATGTTTTGGTGATTGTGTCCTTGAATGCAGGTTAAAATTAACATGTAAAATCTTCAGTCACTTTGGAATAGATTCCCAATAGCCAAGGAGTACTTGCTGAAGATGGGAATTATTCTGGGTTCTAAGTCAGTAAGACTGTCTCTTGACGTCTATGTCTTGAGAGTTTTGTACAGACCCCACTACCTGCTTGCATTTACCAGCCTGTCCTTGATGCCTCACTGGCGCTCAGTTATCTCCAGTTCTTGGTGCAGCATCCCGCCACCGCCCTAGCTCTTGCCCCAGACTGCTGCCACATGGGGTCCTCAGACAATGGGATTTGGGGAGATATTTGCAGAAGTTATAAATCGGTGACCTGTGGTTGGAATCTGATCCACAGATCTTTTTTATTTTTGCCAATGTGTTATTTTTAAAAGTTTGATTTAGTTGCTAAAGCTTAAAAATTAGGAGATTCGTACAAAATTCTGAATATCCAGTTTCTTTGCAAAAAAGTAGATCTGGCTTTGCAGGGCCTACCTTCCCATGAGAGAGGAAGTTCTTGGAGTGGCAGTGATGGGGCACGCCCCGCCCAGTGATCTCAGTGCCCACCCTCCCCTTTCACCCATTTACACTGCTGCTTGGTATTGGGGGGTGGCTCTTGGTGCATTGGAAAAACAAAAATAAAACACAAAACAAGCATAAGGAAAGGAGTGGCTTCCTGGGGACTTTTGCTCTCTGTCCCCTTGCCTGCCTTCTGAGAGGAATTCCTTCCTTGGAACCTGTTCCTGACCTCGTTAGGAACTGCTTCTCTCAGTACGTCACCTCTGAATTTGTCCCTTGTGCTTCCAGGGGGCGCAGTGTTGGAGTGTGTTGAGGAAAGCATGCGGACTTTGGGATCACAAGACCTGGATTTGAATCCCAGTTCTGCTTCTTGCTGAGTTCGATTTCCTTTTTTGTAAAATGAGAGCTGTAACTTGCTTGATAGGCGGGTACCCCAAGGTACCCATAGGTTCTCTCCCAAGACATGACTCCCGTTCTTCCTCATGATCTGTTGAAGTCCCGCTGAAGTTCTGCCTCTGCTTTCCTGCCTCGTACACCTCTTTACTCCTACAATAAAGCCAACTGTTTTATTTTTTATTCCTTACAACTTCCAGTGTGTCCCATCTGTACATTTCACGTATTCCTTTTCCTTTTTTGTACCCAGACCTCTGATAGAGACTCCTGTGTGAGAATAATAGGTGGCAGGTGAATTTATCTTGGTTTGGGAAATTCTGTAAGAATTCTATAAGAAGGCCTTTTATCAAATCTCTGCAATAATTGTACACAGTCTTGTGATGGAAACTGTATTAGCTTCTACAGCAGGCTGTTGGAATTCTTTCTGAATATATACACCTTCCCCACCCATTGTATGTTTGTAGAAATTGAGCCAAGGTCCAAAGGTGGAAAGTCGTCGGTGGAAAAAATCGGTACTGCAAAGGGGACACTTCGCCTGAGATCGAAAGGTCCTGCCACCGTGGAAGAAGTGGTATGTTATGTTTGTTTAATTCCCATTCTGCTTGGAAATGTGTGGACGTTCGTATTTATTAGAGCTGGAGATAAAGGTAAAATCACAAAGTTCAATAAAATACCATAGATTCTACTTAAAGCGTGGACTTTAATTCATGGCCTATTGGAACAATATGAAAATTACTGAGGGCATTTAACAAGGAAATAGAGAAACTGAGCACATGAGAAGAGATTGTGATCTGTAGCAGTCCTCAGCTCCAGCAGACAACTTTTTCCAGAGTCTGTAGACATCTGGACTGGCTCAAAAATGTAAAAGGAATCATCTAAAGCTCTGAGAACCAAGGAGAAGTCTCAGAGCCACCTGTGGGAGCAGACATACTTAACATTTTGATAATGAAAGACTCCTCAGGGAAAACATTTTGTAGTCATCTTTGACTCTTCATGTCCCACATCCCTTCCATCAGCAAATCCTAGTGGGTCTACCTCCACAATACGCCAGAATCCAACCACTTCTCACCTCTACCCCCAGCACCCTGACCCAGGGCACCAACATCTTCTCGTGAATATCACAGCCACCTTCTGGTCAGTCTTCCTGTGTTCACCCCACCCTCCCTCCTTTGGTGCTCAGCACAGCAGCCAGAATTATCTTTTAAAAACATAAGTGATGGGGCTAGCCTGGTGGCATAGTGGTTGGGTTTGCTCACTCCACTTTGGGGCCTGGGGTTTGTGGGTTCGGATCCTGGGTGCGGACCTATACACCCCTTGTGGGTCCATGCTGTGGTGGTATCCCACATACAAAATAGAAGAGGACTGGCACAGGTGTTAGCTCAGTAACAATCTTCCTCCAGCAAAAAGAGGAAGATTGGCAACAGATGTTAGCTCAAGGCCAGTCTTCCTCACCAAAAAATAAAATAACTGCCCCCCCCCCCCCCCCAAATGAGAGCATGTTACTTTTCTGTTCAAAACCCTCCAAGGGCTTCCTATGTCCCTCAGAATGAAAGCTAAAGTCCTTAGAGTGACAAACATGCTCTGACTCTCACTTCTTCTCTGACCTTATTTCCCATCACTCCCCTGTTCCCTCTGCTCCAGCCACAGGGCTCTCCTCGCTGTCCCCAGACACTCAGATGTGTCCCACCTCAGGGGCTTTGTACAGCTGTGTCCTCTGTCCGAGGGCGTTGCCCATTTATTGGCACAGCCTGCAGACTTGCTGCCTTCAGGTTTCTGCCCATGTGTCACCTTGACTAGAAGGCCTTCGCTGAGTATCTCATGTAAGTAGCAGTTCCCACCACCCCTCCTGCTGCTCAATCCTCCTCGCTCTTAGTTTCATCGAAGTGCTAAACACGGTAGGACTTATCATATCTTTATTTCCTTTTTGTCTATTGTTAGGTGCTTTGCTCACATGTCTTGTTTCCTTCAGTATCCCCAGCACCTAGTACCTGACACATCAAAGGAGCTCAAGTCTTTGCTGAATTAATGAATTAATAAATAATTCACTTAAGCTTGAGAAGAGTAAGGGTTTTGCTGATTGACTGGGTCAGTATTTGAGTGAAAAACACCAGCAGGAAAAGAGACAAACGGAGGGAAAGGGGTGGAAGAAGAGGCTGGCAGGGGGAAGGGACAGCAGCGGAAAGGATTCCAAGTGTCAAGGGCAGGTCAGGCCCACCCGCAATAGCGAAGATGGTGGTGAGGAAGTCATTGTGCAGGCAGAGGGGAGGGCAGGCGGGCATCTGAGACTCAGGAGCTCCTGCAGCAAGGGGTGCAGATACCAGCCCGTCTGGTTCACCATGTGTGTATTGTCCTAGGGTTCTTCACATGTGTGGAGAGCAAAAGAGTAAGACAGTGAACAGTTAGGAGGCTGTTTTCACAGAGGGGGAGCCCAGAGCATGTGGGGTGATGACGTCCAGGGGGGTTTGTTGGAGCAGACACTCCAGGAACCCTGAGGCCAAGGTTGTCCTTCTGAATGTTTGAGTCACCCAGGATGTTGTCACTTTTGGGGAACCCAGAGGAAGATTTTGAGTCGGGTGCCCCTGTCCTGGCAAATGGAAATGAAGAGACCTGAGAGAGCCAAAAGCATTTTGAAAATGAGCTACGATGAGGTGTGTGAAAGAGACAGGGCAGAGCCTTCTGGTCACGCTGAGTCGTTACTGTTCCTTTGTCCGGCACACGGCCAGGCATGCGGCTGCAGGCCAGTAACTGTTTATTGAACGAATGAACAAACCCGTGGAAGAAAGAAGCCTGTAAAAGAATAGAGGAACAGTTGGAAGGAGCCAGAAGTGAGGAGCTAGGAAAGTGAGGCTGTGAGGAAAATAGGACAGACCTTGAACCGCAAAGGAGGCGGGGTCAGCAGGAGAAACTCCGCGTCACTTCAGGAGGAGGGTCATCTTCTAATAGCGTAACGAATAATATTTGTTAAGTACCTGTTATGTATAAGGTGCTGGCATGAAAAGGAGTAGCCGAAGATCTATCTGGGGACGTAGGAAAGATTCATTCAAAGATAAACATCTGAAACTCTGTTTTGATTTGCATAGTCTGTCCCATTAACTGGGGCAATTAAAAATAGCTCATAATAAAAGGAAAAAGCTAGTTTGGTGCTAAGATTGAATTTGATACAAATGACTTACAATCTAATTTCAGACATTAAAGGATTTATAGATTTCAAACAAATCATCCCCTTATAAAAGAACACAAATTCTGAAAACTGTGAAAGATGCCCCATGTGTGTACCTCATAATTTATTCAGTATGTGAGTATGTGCTGAGATAGGCACAGTCCAGGTGCTGGTGATACGAAGATGAATAAAGACCTTGGTTTTTCACTTTAAAGGGAGAGAGCCATGAAAGGAGGCTATTACAAACCAGGGGCAATAGGGTTAATGTCCCAAAGGAGGGGCTGATCTCCGTTGTCAGGGATGGGGAAAGAGGGGCCATCAGGGAGAGTTTCCCTCCAGGAGAAATGATGGAGTTGGTTTAAGATGAGCAGGAGAGTGTTCTAGGCGTGAAACAATGATGGGCTTGAGGACCTTGTAAGTGTCCATCAAATTGGAGTGTGGAGTGCTGGAGGTACCTGGTGGGGGGTGATGAGGCTGGAAGTATTGACCTGGGTCAGGATGTGAAGGGCCTGTGCATAATGGGGGAGCCATTTAAGAATTGCAAGGGGAGCAACATAATCAATTTTGCATTTTAGAAAAATTCCTTTGTTGGGGTGGGGGGTGGGTTGTTGAGCAGGGTGCATTTGAGAGGGTGAAGGTTGCAGGCAGGGAGGCAAATTAGGAAACCTCTGCACATAAGAGAAGAGGAGGGCTGAACCCAAGCAATCAGAATGTGAATGGAGGAGAGCCGATGAGATCAAGAGCTGTTTAGGAGGTGGAATGGTAAAATATTGATGTCGGATTCGGTATGAGAAGTACTGATACTTGTTGCGAAAACTTACAGTATGGCTGCTGGATACAAAGGTAAACATCTGAGTTACTTTGAGAGCCTGTTGCTTTCACCAGACCATTCAAAATACACTGTAGAGAAGGCGAGAGTGGTGTATCATCTGTTATTGTTTCTAAGCCTTAGTTCAGATAAATGGGAATATGAGAATGTTGTAATAATATCCTCAAGGAAATAAAAATTAAATTTTATTTACAATAAGATGCATATTTTAAAATAAGTTTGGAGAATACGAAGTAACATATATTTATAACAATATTAAAAGTATTATGAATTTCTTATAATCTAATCTTAAATTCTACATTTGCAGCTGTGGTTTTGCATTCAATTTCTTTGGCTAATTTCTTTTTTAGCTATGAAGCCATTTAAAACCAAGTATTTCAAATAAGCTGAACGTAGAACCAGATTTGAGCAAATATTAAACCAAGATTTTGAAAAAATAATAAAATATATCCAATCATGTTTTTCACTGAAACCTTTAATAATAGATTCAGGAAGAAAAAAAACATTTTGTTACCGTTAATGCATAAAACAAGACATTTTTAAAATCTTTCGCCATGACTTCATCCTTATAAAGTTTCTATTTTTATGTATTTTAATACTTAGATAATATATTCATATGGTATTGCATGTGTGTAATTTATAAAAACTACACACTATTAAAAATGATTAAAGAAGACAATTGGGTGATAGAAACCAACAATTTAACACTATATGAAGTGGTTAGTCTCCTTCGGAGAACTGCAAAATAGGGCAGAATGCAAGAAGCTTTTGTAAGATAAAGAATAAAGACCAAGGAAGAGAAAAATAGGAAATATCTGGTTGGCTGGGGCCACACAGCCAAGCTCCTGTGGGCTGAGAGGCCCGGAGTTGGCTTGGCCTGTGGGCAGTGGCTGACTGGATGGACTGCGGTTCTGGTCAAGTGGAGTATTTTCAGGGGCATGAAAGTTGTCTAAGTCTCTCTTTGCTGGCATGGCACCCTGGGCAGGAGTGGCTCTATCTTGGGCCTACAAAGTTATTTCAACAGTACAATAAAATTAAGTAAAAAATAAATAATAAGAGTAGTCTTCAGAAATGTTTTACTCTTGAGGTGAGCCATTAAAAGGTTGGGGGCAGTGGCTTGCACGATAAAGACCAAAGCCCTTTTCATGCCCCACGGGACCCCTTAATATCTGGTCATGTCTGGGACTAGGTTCCCCAGTCACTTGGGACCTCTTGCCGTCCCCATAACAGGCTGTGATCTTTTATCAGACTCTGCAACCTCACGTAGACTTTGGTTATCTATCTATTGCCTTCTACTTGAAGTGCCCTCTCCTGCTTATCTGACGCTAGTTCATCTTTGAGAAAACAGTTCTCAAGTCACCTTCTTTCTGAAGCTTCCGCTATTCTGAGAGATTTAAATTTACTTCCCTTGTGATGCCTCTGTATCTTTTATATTCTTTAAAAATTGACCTTATTATGGCTACATAGTTATTTACTTTCACATCTGTCTCCCCTTCTAGATTGTTGGCTACTTGGAGACTGTGTTCCTGGCTTTTCTTCTTTGAATCCATGACACTTAGCACAAACACTAAAAATAAGTGTTTACTCTACTGGTTTGTGTTGAGTTGTAGTGCAGGTTCTAGATATATTTCCATTCAAATTAGCTGACGTACACAGCCATGAACTGGCCCCACATCAGATTTTCCCCTGTGGATGCCTCGACATTCAAGAGATTGCACATAGAAATATAATCTCTTATTTCTCTTTTCTTTGATAAAGCCCTCTGAAACCAAAGCAAAGGCAATTGAAAAGATTGATGATCTTCTTGAGTTGTACATGGGAATTCGAGATCCTGATTTAGGTAAGATTATGCTATTTAAAAAAGTCTTATATTTCTTAATTTGATGGAACTTAGTGCGTATTTATGTCTTCCTTGCATTTATAGCCAATTATACTTTTTAAGTTAAAAGGTATTTCTGGATTGATGAAAAGAGTCATGAAAATAAAGATAATAAATAATAATGAAAAGAAGACCTGGTCCTTACCTCTTACTGTCTGTGAGGCCTTAGAGTCAAGTCAAGTTTCCTAAACTTCAGTTTTTAATCTATAAACTATAAATAATAATATTTCCTTCACAGGATTATTTTATGGATTTAAAAAATATATGTGATGATGGATGTTAACTGGAATTATTGTAGTGATTATTTCACAATATATACATCTATTGGGAAAATATATATGAAAAGAATTTTGTAAATGATAGATATGATAGGTGTTATTATTTGACAAGCATTTTATCATATATTGTTTGAGACAGATTTACATTGATTAAATTGTGTATTTATCATGGTATTAAAGTTGTGCACCATATTACTGAAACCTTGTGACCAATGAATCAGAAATATGAAGGAAGAGGACACACTTGGCATATGACTAATCAGGGCAGTTGAGCAGTTGAATTTCTGTGTATTTCTTATGTCATCATTAGGATGTCAGGGTCTTGGTTTATCAGTTAAGATTCTATCAGTTGCAAATAACAAAACAAATAAAACAATAAAATAAAAGTTGCAACTACAGCAAAACAAAACCCAACAAACCTAACTCTAGCTGGCTTAAGGGAGAAAAGGGGGGAAATGTTTTGGTTCTTATAACTTAAACGTCCAGAGGTAGATCCTGGCTTCAAGAATGCTTAGATCCGGAGTTCTCATGCTATGATCAGGATGTGCTTTCTTTTCTCTCATTTCTAACTTCATTTCAGGTCCCCATGGTATCTCCTGGCAGCTTCAGACCCTCCCTCATGCAGCCAAATGATTGCCATGGCTCCGCCCTCTACATCATCTTGGTGGCAAGCACGATGGGAGAGAGGGAGAGCCCTTTCCAAATCATTCAAACAAAATGCTTGGGATTGTCTCTGATTGGTCTGATTGGCTCACTTGAGCCAGTCACTGAAGCTAGGAGGGTGGTTAGGTCTGAGTCAAATGCTCTACCTCTGGAGCTGAGAGTGACTCTGAAATACAAGGGCTGAGACTGTGAGAGGCCTGGCCCCTCCCATGCGGAAGCAAGATCCGTGTTCTCTTAAGAAGGGCAGGTGGATGCTGGGTGGGGAAAAAGAGAGTGTGCCCTCTAATGGTGGGGTTTGTGCTGCATGCGTCCATGCGTGTGTGCGTGGCGGTGCGTTTGTCAGGTACTTAACAAATTTTTTAAAGTCAAAGACTTGGACAATTTTCTTTACCTTCTACCAGATAAGTATTTTACTCTACCTCAGCTAGAGGTATTTAAAGCTCATTCTTCCTTTTCTACTTCCACTCATCTTCCTTTATTCTTATTTTTTTCTTGCCTGTCTGAACTTATAAAATAAAATTTCTATGGGGGATGTACAGATAATGTCTGTAATTGAAAAAAATTGGCGCTCTGTTTTTTAGCTCCTTAGAGAGAAACAGAAAATTTGCATATAATGGATCCTTGCTCCACACAGACAGAAGTTAAGAAGTTAAAGCTGAGATGATCCTACAGAAAGCCAGTGTCTTAAAACATTTGTCCCCAACCCTTTTACATTTGGGAAAATATAGAGATTTGCATAAATGATGTGGGCCTGTGACAGTTATGCAAATGAACATGCAAATGAGGGCACAGGGGATTTAGAGATGGCAGTGCTACTGAACTCAGATTAGGGAGTATTTGTTGGAAAAATAATATGATGGGTCTCTATCCAGGTGAGAAGTTTTCAAATTGTCTAACTGTATGAATATTATAAGGTTCAGGAACTAGCGTATCAGTTGCTGGGTCTTGATGAACTTTAGGAGAATCACACTTTTCAAAGGTGAGAACTTGAAAGAGTCCTTAAATTTAGAACTTACGGGTCTTATAGTTACTTAAGTGTAAACTGGGAGTAAATACATTAGTTTTGCTCTTTTGTTGTTAAAAATATGCAAGTGCTTTGGACAATGGTACAAGTAATTATAAATGAATTAAGAAACAGTTCTTTAAGAATCAATTTTCTTTCACTCTGACAAATTTAGAGCACTAAACATTCCTCACAAATTCTTTGTAAATTAGCTAGTAATCCCTTTGTAAAGTTATTAATCATCTGTAGCAAATTCCTCCAATGACATGAAAAGTCATTATCATTATACATGATTAGCAATGTGGTCACTGAGGGAGGCAAAGTTTAAGGAAAGTAAGTATTTGACGAATGTCAGCCATTGTTAAATTAGGAATTTCTCTCATTATTCAGATCTGATTAGCAGGAAATATAAATCACGAATGTAACACTGATTCAACAGACGAATATATTTACTTGTTTGTATTCCCATGTTTCTTAGCTTTCAGAAATATTAAATCTTAACACAAATTACAATGACATCAAATTATTTTGGAGTTGTTAATGTGTTTATATTAAAAATTTTAAAAAGAATTGTGGCAGTAAAATCACTAAACCCAAAACACTATCGTCAGAAAAGCTTTGGGATGTATTTACCATTTGAAAATGGAAAATAACTCAAATGAGTTTATATGGGAAGTAACCGTGAAGGTGACAGTGTTTCATTTGGTTGTAAAGTTACATTGTGAACTATGACTTTTCAATCCACCCATTGCCAACATGGGTTGCCTTGGAATGTTATCTATGGGGGGAGAGTGGTTTCTGGGAGATTTTGAGTCCTATAAGACTTTGTCTGGGATTGACCTAACTTAATGGAAAGTTGTATCATATATGTTTCATCATGAATATTTAACGCGACTGTGTAAATTATATATAGAACTACAATATTTTCTGATGATACCAATTTAGGAGTTTGCTGATTATCCTGGCAATTTCAGAATTTTAGGATTTCTAATTTATTAAGAGATCCAGAAATGTGTGGAAAGGAAATCTTCACTATAAGATCTTTTATAGCTCTTTTAAAAGTATATGATAATTTTAATAGAGATAATTACATTCTTTCCTAGGATGGTTTTCTTTTTTCAGTGAATTCAAAACAATGAACACTAAAGAAAGTCATCCTTCTCAGATAAAGCCAATGAAGTTTTGGAAATAGATTTCACTTAAAAAACATTCTATATTGGCTGAGCTTTTGGTGTTGGGCTCATATGTGAGTTGCTTGAAATGTGTTGATATTTATGAAAAGTCTTAGAGAATGTCAGTGTTGAAGACCTTACATAGAAAGAGATATGGTTTCAGATTTCATGATTAAACTAACAATAATGACAAATCTTTATCTAAACCCCGCTGTGTGTCATTTTAGAAATTTGAAAACAAATTCAGAGAAGTTTGGTAACTTGCCCTAAGTTGGCTAACAAGTTAAGAGCTGAGATTGAATTCTGGGCCTTTGATACCAAGATTTTTCACCTGCGGCAATACCTTATGTCTAAAAATTTTGTTTAAGTATTTAAAAGCTTAGTGGAAAATGTAGATTGACCTATGTCACCAAAATAAGTTTGTCATTTGTATTGTAAAAGTTGTTCAGTAGTCGTAATGATATAAAGATATTCTCAACCTGGCCACGAGAGGTCAGCACTTAGCTGCTATATTGGTATCACAATTCTACTCTTTTAGTGGAATTTTTTTTGCTGGATTGTATTCAGGTGTTAAATATTATTGCAGTATATTGCAGATATATTATAGTTAGCAGATTATAAGCATTTTAGTAGCTGTCATTATGTTAATGTGATAGAACTTTCTAAAAAGTATTTCATTTGGCTAAAATTTCTTTTGTTTTTCTCTTAGAGATATAATCTTAATCAAAAAGGATAAAATTATACCAGTTTATTTCTCCTGTAAGGATGTATGTTTGTACTTTATACATTAACAAAAATTCGTAACATGTTCAGTGCATGCTCCAGTCTTAAATTCTTTTAAAATACATGTACAAATCACTGATTTGTAAAAGATTTATGGAGCGCTATATTAAATACAGTATTTCCAACACAGTTATGAAGCTGCCTGATTGGGGTTTTTGTTGCTTCTACAAGACCAGGAGTTCCCTGAGGGCAGATACCTTGCTCGGTTTTGAGGAAGATTAGCCCTGAGTTAACATCTGCTGCCAATCCTCCTCTTTTTGCTGAAGAAGACTGGCCCTGAGCTAACATCAATGCCCATCTTCCTCTACTTTGTATGTGGGATGCCTACCACAGCGTGGCTTGATGAGTGGTGCCATGTCCACACCTGGGATCCAAACCAGCAAACCCCCGGGCTGCCGAAGCGGAATGTGCGAACTTAACTGCTGCGCCGCCGGGCCAGCCCCCTTACTCGATTTTTAATCCCAGCTCCTACCACAGTACCTCCCCAGAGTAAATACCTAGTGAATGTTGACGTAATGTCTATTGAGAGGCACAAAAATAATGAATTCACAGGGAGTGTGAGTCCTAAGTTCATTAGTTTGAAGCTTTAGCCCTTGGGCAAATTACTAAACTTTGAACCTTAATTTCCACATCTGTAAAAGGGGTATGATAAAAACCACCTTACAGAGGTGCCAAGGCATCAAATTAAATCATATGTATAAGGTTCTTGTTACGTCATGAAGAATACGTGTAGCTGTTATCCTTCTCAGCAGCGATCCCTAATAGCTCTTACCCATAATAGTGGTCGTGGTAGCAGAGGTGGAGCATGTCAGCGGTGGGACTGGAGGTCTGGCCAATTCTGGGACTGTATTTAGTGCAGGCGTTTTTCTTCACTTTTCTGCTGTGCCAGCCTGAATGCATGAGTGAGATTATACAGTTTGGACTGTGAAGTTATAGTCTGGGCATCTTAAATCATGATTTTTCTC